TCGGGAACTTATATCTGTTAGCTGTCTACAAGGTTATAAACCAATGACACAGTGTGCAAGGAGAGACACGAAGCAGGGGCTGGAGACGATGTGGAGTATAAGAACTTTTGCGCAGTTGCATTGGTGCCGTCACCGAGAGTAATTTGTAGAGTTCAAAAATTAAAGAGATTTCATTTTATGGAGTTAGCTCATGTCTGGCGTTTACCTGAAACAAAAATTACCAGTTTGAAGCTATATCTGCATCCCTCCCAGGATATTGTTGCATTCTTTATAATAGTCAAGAGCTAGAAACAACTTACCTGCCAATGACAGACGACTAGATAAAGAAGAAATACACCCTCCCCCATCAGGGTTACTTTTTAGCTATACATCTATGTAAAGATCATAGCAAAGGCTGTGTTCCAGGCCTTGCACATTTGTTCTCTTCTCTTATGCAGCCAATAGCCTCTGCTCAACCATGTGCCACCAGGTCCTTAGTGGTCAGGAGCACCCTCACCTGGTCTCCCTCTTGGTGTTTATCGGAGTGGGAGTTACTGTCCCAGTGGGAGGTCAGGTGTCCAATGTTGTTCCATCCAGATGTCAGCTGGGACAGAATAACCCAGAAGCCTCAGGTAGCTGGGACCTGCACAGAGTCTTGTTGGCATATAATGTTGAGGTTTGCACTGATTGATAAATATCTGAAGCTTGGGGGGAAAGATGAGCCCCCTGCTGTGTGCAACAACATGGATGCACCAGATGATGTTCAGTGAGATAAGCCACAGCAGGGAGATACACGCTGTATTTGGATATAGAGACCCTAACCAGGAGTTAATTTAATAAAATAGGAACTAATTAAAAAATAACTGAACACTTGGACTCTAAGAGCAATGATCTTAACCCCGGGCCAGGAGGGCGCGTGCATGCACACACACACGATTGGCAAGAAAAGGAAGCTCCTTTATTGTCCCGATTCCCTCCTTATCTACCCCACAGTCCTGCCTCTGTACTTCCCCCCCCTTGTTTGTACACCGTCTGAGCATTTAGTCCGGCCAGCAAAAACATACTCCCTTTTGGGTGCAAGAGACCCTGGTTCTCTAAAAGCTCACAATGTTTCTTTCTAGTCCTTCAGTAACCTCCACTCCACAGCTCTCCACAAATGAGAGGGGGTTGGGGGGACAGGGGTAGCAAGAGATGGACAAAGGGTGAGGGGGCAAGTGTGTGTTGAAGGGCAGAATGGGGCCTGCTGTGGTGTGTCCATGCGGTACACACAGAAGTTAGTATCTGGTGCTGTTTGCCAGACCCATGATGCTTCGGGCAACAGTTCGCCCATAACCAGACAGCGTGCACTGCTCAGAAAACCAAGTTAGGACGGGGCAAGCTGTCCTGTCTCTGAGGAAGCTGTGTCCTCCCAGGGCGTGTGGCCACCGCCAGCGGGAGACGCACGTCTCTGCTGCAGCCTGTTTGCTAAGCAGAGACCTGGAGTCGATACTGAAGAAGTCCACTCCTCTTGGAAATTTTCTCCACATGGAGGTGAAGTCAACAAATGTGTGATTTTTACAAGTTGACAGTCATGACCCATTATGAATGAATGTGACCAAAATATTTTAGTCGGCTTTACCATCCAACAAGTAATGGTGAAACTTCTCCAGAGATGTATTATGGACTAACGATGTTACAGTCAAGGACTGCGGAAATGTGTTTTCTTACAGCACAGGTCGTGAAGAGGTGGCAACTTTGTAATCTGTGTGTGGTGATTTCTATTAAACTAAATTTTATAATTTTTTGTGTAACCTCGAGGTATCTATCTGACCATTAAGCAAACAGTACACGGCAATGTAAAATGCAAGTGCATTTTCCTGGGGCTTCCGTCTGCAATGATATTTTGAGAACAGTCGTTCTCCTTATTTTCAAGACTTGAAAAAATTTTCTGAGTAGTAGATTTGTATGACACTTCTAGCCACACTGTTCTCTATCCTTGTCATATGGTATAGACTACATTAAGTAGAAAAACGGTGCTAATTTGTACGAGTGAGGAAAACATTAATAATCTTGTACCTACATAAACATATTATTATATGTTTTGATATATTTTCCTGGAAAAGCGAGACATCAAACTATTTTAAATATTTGTTCAGTTTCTCATGTGAGTAGAAATCTTGCCAGAAATTTGTTGTCTTATGGGGCAACACGTTGCATTACTGTCCCTGAGGACACTACTCTCACTGTTGTCTCTGTAGAATTTGCCAACATTTACTTCTCCTTAGAGTCGTTATCGTGTTTGCACGTTGGTGGCAAAGAGCCCTTGACTGGCCCAGATGGTCCTTCCAAGTCCTTAAAAGACAGAGGATGTAGCTTCTAAATTCATTGTCTGAAATTTACGTCCTGAGAAGTCAGGAATGAGCCTTCTGAAATTTGACGTTTGTAGCTTTTAGAATAAGTGTTTTTGCAGAGTCGTAGATACAGACAGTGTTCCCGACGTGTGGTCGGAGGGCACCAAGTGAGTCTGTGTGATCCCGCTGTCACAGATGTTCCGAGATGTGGCGGAAACACGCACAGGTGCGTGATGGGCCATTCACAGACAGACGGACTCTCCTCACACTGTCATTTTCATCTTGAGATTCTCACGACTACATATTCAACGAAAGTCAGTTTGTCTTTCAGGAGAGTAAGTATGTTTTGTTTGTAAATTTCAGTGTTTGATGCAACATTCTAGTTCTTTGGTTTTGTAAAATACTGGACTTCTATGTTTAAAATTTAAATGATAAAATGGAAGACAAGAGTCATATCGATGTTATTTTTTTCTATAAATATAAATGTAACGTGGAAATATTGGAAATATATGTTGCATCGGTAACAATTTAGATCTTCCAAAAATTATGTTAAAAAAAGGAATTTAGATCAATTCCTCTTCACTCTCCTACATAGCAAGACTACTAATGATCAAAGTGTACAGGGTAGGTCTTAACACAGGAGGCTGGATGACTTCAGAGTACTCTAGGAACAGAAAGTTGTGATAGTCATTCAGAATTGATCTGCCCCCTGCTGTAAGATTTTCACAAACGAATATTTATGCCGAAATATAGCTCTTTCCCCCTCATTGTAAATGCCAAGATTATCACAATATTTTCATTATTGTTCACTAAGCTAATTTTGTTCACTAAGCTAATTAAAAGGAAATAGTCCTGGAAACATACTAATAGAAAATATATCTGAATACATTCACTTTGTCAAAGTCTGCGTAATATCTGGGTATAACAGAAGACATCTATTGATGACTAGAAAGGAGTGGTGTAGAATCTGGGACATGTACTGAGTAGGGATCTAGCGAAGTCCTGAGGGATTTAGAATTTTCTTATTTCACTTCAGAAGGTTCAGTTCCACTGGGATTCCATTTAATGCTCCTGGTGATTAGCTAACAATTGCTTCTCCTGAGCTGTGTTCAGGGCTCCTTTGAGTCAAACGTTCCTATAAACCATTATTGTCTGATACTTGGAACTTGATAGAGTCTGTTATTCGTGTCTTGATACTTGAAAATTAAACTAAATTGTTCAGGCACTAGAAAAATATACACAAGTATTAAAAAATTTCATATAACAAACTAATGATATTTTCAGTTCAGGATCCTTTTCTGCCTTATCATAGTTGAAATTTCAAAGACTGAGGCTCTTTATTTACAAAATACCCTATATCATTAATGACACATTTGTGGTTGAGAAAGAAATGTAAAAATATCTACTGCCTGGTATACAGAATTGTAGGGACCCTGAGCAACTATAAACCAGAGACATTCTATGGGAGTGGAGTGGGGAATGAGGGGAGAGTATGGCACTATGGTGATGGTACATGGGTGATTTCGTGATGGGAAATCTAGGGGGATTACAACTGAAAAGGAAAAAGGCACAAAATGATATAAAAATAAACTGTTATAATTAAAAAAAAATCTGTGAATCAGATGTTTTGTGGAAACTGGCCACAGTGAGACAAGACAGTCAATTTCAGAAGCTGAAGAGCATATGAATTATCCTTGTTATTATACATCAGTCCACACTGAAGTATTATAGAGATTTGTGTTCAAATTTATATAGAGTAAATGGTTATATACAACATCCAGTGTATTTTTATATTGGGTTCAAATAGAAAATCTTTGTACATGTCATTTAAAGTAGCTTTAAAAAGATAACCTGAGCTTGGTTGAAATATGAAATCCCTCTTATCATTTTCACAGACTTTGAAGGAACACAGTGTGTCCTGGATGTAATGTTGCATCTGGAGACACAAGTGTCTAAAAATAAAATTTACCAGCATTGTAATAATGAGATCATCAGAGGCTGCAGGAACAACAGGAAACAGAGAGGCTGGTCTAACTAGATAAACTAACCCTGAAAGGACCTTGGAGATTTGAGCATACCGGGAGATGTGAGCGTACCGGGAGCTAGCATTCGAGGCAGTAAGTCCCAGAATGTAAATTTTCTCCAGGAAAATCTAAGCACAGTCCTAAGTTGAAAACTTAGGAATAGTAAGTTCTCATTCTGTATCTATCATAAGGATGCAAAATGCTATGAGACTTCAAATGTTTTTTTCTTGTGTTGAAATAACAGCTGATGTTTCCTATTGTCATTTTTCTTGCATACTTTCCTTAGGGGAATTAGCTCAGAAACTAGTGTGTCTTTACTTCTTTGGTTTGGCACCGACCAGGAAAATTTTGTGGTGCTCCCACATAGACACTGCATGGAGAAACATTAGACTCTGCATCTTTATCCTAGTTACCTTAGCAACCCTGTGCTAATGATTTTCATAATGTTGTAAGGTTGAGAAACCTTGTCCTGAGTCATTTTTCTATTCACACTCAAAAACTGTCTCTCTGAGAATCTTATTGACAATAGAAGTAGTCTGCAGCTGCTCTCCCGAATGGAGCAGGATGTATGTGGCAGAGTTGCCCCAGGCAATTATAATCAAGGGGGAGAAGGTTCCAGCCGATTTGTAAGTATGGGAAAATTCCTAGGAAAAATACATCTTGTTAATCATCAATGATTATTTGTGGGGAAACAGTCATAGCTGTGAGGTAATCTAATTCACAGGTTAAATGATCAAGAGTAGACTTTTGAAAATGTGTCAAACAATCCAACGGTCTTCAGAATCCAGAATATATTGCTACTGAAGGAATCCTGAAGCTATTGTGTTATTGCCAATGCATTGGTCATGACTAATGAGCAATAATAATACTGATTTAATGATTCCAGTAGTCATTTTGAATGTGATAGATTAAAAAAGACCCATGAGAGAAGGAAGCTAGAGGTTGGTTAAATCTGAAAACTGCTTCTGATATGCTCTTTCATGTGTGATATGTGCACACATATTAACATGATTGCAATGTAGAATGTAATTCTCTTTATGTTATACTTGTAATCTTGGAGAGCCAAGATTTCACCAATCAAGGGTCACTGATAGGAGCCAAAAGCTTGATTTTGTAATAGTATCATTAGGTCAAATAAATTACATGGCTTGACTTTTCCATCCTACAATCCTTGTAAAGACAATAATCTTTCCTTTTCTCCAGGCCCATTTCTCCCAGTTTTCCACGCAGTCTGAGAGGAAGTCAGGAGCCAGGAATGAGAAATCACACAGCAGTAACCACTTTCATCCTCCTGGGGTTAACAGATGACCCCCAACTGAACATTTTGACTTTCATACTTCTATTAATCGCCTACTTGTTGAGCGTAACTGGAAACTTGACCATCATCATCCTCGTGTTAGTGGATAATCACCTTAAGACGGCCATGTACTACTTTCTCCAAAATTTTTCCTTCTTAGAAATTTCATCTACTTCTGCCTGCATTGTTAGGTTCTTATACAGTCTATCAACAGGAGATAGGACCATCACCTATAACGCTTGTGTAAGCCAAGTATTTTTTATATATATATTTGCCATAGCACAATTTTTTCTCCTGACCGTCATGTCCTATGACCGGTACGTGGCGACCTGCAAACCCCTGCACTATGTGACCATCATGAACCGCAGGGTCTGCAAAATGCTTGTCTTCTGCTGTTGGATGACTGCTTTGCTGTTGGTAGTCCCACTACTTATTTTGTTACTGGGCCTGGAATTCTGTGACTCCAATGCCATCGACCACTTTGGCTGTGATGCTCATCCTCTGATGAAGATCTCATGCTCAGATACTGGGCTCCTAGAGCAGATGCTCATTATCTGTTCTGTTATGATCTTCATCCTGACTCTCATGTGTGTGGTTTTGTCCTACGCTTATATCATCAGAACAATCCTGAGGTTCCCATCAGCGCAGCAAAGGAAGAAGGCGTTTTCCACCTGCTCCTCCCACATGATTGTGCTTTCTATCTCCTACCGCAGCTGCATCTTTATCTACACCAAACCTTCAGCAAAAGATGACATGACCATAAATAAAAGAATTTCACTGTTGAACACTTCTGTCTCTCCCATGTTGAACCCGTTTATTTACACTCTGAGGAACAAACAAGTCATACAAGCTGTTAAGGACTTAATGACAAAATGGTACCCCTCTTAAGGAATTAGAGAATTATTGAAGTAGTGGTACACAATAATATTTATGTTTTTGTTTTTGATCTAAATTTCTCCTTTTTAATACAAACTGTGAACAAGTTACACTATACTTCTTCTTACATACTATCCTCTCTCGTTTTTGAAAAATGCAACATGACAAGGTATTTAAGGGTCAGCAATAAACAGTTTGAATATGTCTGTATCTTGCTTTATCTACTTAAATGAATAGATACATATCTGCTTTGACAATGATGTTGAGAACAATATTATGATCATAGAGTATGTTTGTCCCTTGCAAACTGGCAAATAACTTAGTACTGGCAAAATATTTTACCAATATTTTATTATAATGGTAAAATATTGTAAACTATTAGATTGGTAAACTATTGTATTGTTAAACTATTTTACCAAAACAAGTTTCTGACAGTTTGAAGATTTCAGACCATTTTATCTAGTTTAACACATTTATATATACTATACAAAATTTTGTTGTTTTTGTCCAGAATTTTTAGAGTTAGTAATGAATATTTTTTAAGAGGAAGGTAAGCTTTATAATATAATTATAAGGGTGAATTCTTTCTGTGTTCAGAGAACACAGAACCTTAATGTAAGTATGAAAGAGTAGTTTTGAACTGTCGATCATTTTAGTCAACTTCTGTAGTCAAACACAAATGGCGAAACTTTAGATGAGTATTTTTTCGCAGACTAAAGATGTTATAATCAACATTTCCTTAAACTCATGCCCAGAAGAGGTGTACTTTGTAATCTTTCCGTGATCACATGTAATCACCTATATTTGATCAAGTTATGTATAACCTCGCGGTATCTGGCCGTTAAGCAAACAGTAAATGGCAAAGCGAAATGCAAGTGTGTTTTCCTTTTTTCTTGGCTGCAGCTGGGAAGCGATGATACTGCGCGAACAATCATTTTTATTTTCAAGACTTGACAAATTTCTCTGTGCATTAGATTTGTAACCACTTCTAGCCTCACTGTTCTCTTCTTGTATGCATTTACTACGTTATGTGGACAAGTTATGATGCAAATACATGCTAACAAGGAAAACAACACTCATTTTTACTTGTAACTACATAAACATATTTTTATGTATACTGACATATTTTCCCATAAAATTAGATATCAAACTATTTTTAATTTTTTGTTCAATTTCTTATCTGTGTAGAAATCTTGCCAGAATTTTGTTTTCTCATGAGGCAAAGTTGTTGCATTACCGTCCCTGAGGACACTGCTCCTCTGACGCCCTGCAGGGCTTTGCCAACATTCACTTCTCCTTAGAGTCATTATCATGTCTGCACTTTATCCTCCCAGAGGGTCCTTGCATGTCCATAAAAGATGATGACAAAGCATCTAAATACACTGTGTGAAATTTATGTCCTGTGATATGGGGAATGATCTTTCTGAACTTAAAAATCTCTTACTCTTGTCAAACGTTCTATGTGTTTTTATTCTAGTCCTAGATACTGGCGCTGTGTCCCAGACTTGCGGTGGGAGAGGGCCGCAAAGAGTCTGTGCGGGTGTCATGGAGACCTGCAGTCACTAATGTTCAGCGATGTGGAGGAAACACGCACAGTGCCGTGACCGGTCACTTATGGACGATGGACTCTCCTCACACTTTCATCTTGAGGCTGTCACGACTGCATCTTCAACTGAAGCCAGTTTTGTCTTTCAGGAGTGTAAGGATGTTTTATTTGTTAACTTGAGTGTTTTTATTTAGCATTCTAGTTCATTGATCTCAGTAAAAACCAGACTTTTATGCTTAAAGTTAAAATGATAATATTGCAGATATCTCAGGAAAGAAAGTCTACTTCTGATATTATTTTGTTCTACAAAAATAAAATGTTCAGTTATTAGATTCGGTAGAAATATTAGTTGAAATCATCTGAGGTTTCAATCAATTTCTGGCCACTTCTTTTTCTTCATGGAAAGATTAGCACCAATCATAGCATATAAGTCCTTAAGTAAGGAATGAACTTACTAGCATGCTGTGGAACAGAATATGATGATGGACATTTGGATTTGATGACTCCGAAGTAAATTTCACTATCACAATTTTTGCCAAAATATAACAATATTTTCCTTTATTAAAAATGTCAAATTTGCTGTAATATTGTCACCATAGTTCACTGAGCTAATAAAATGCAAAAACTCCTAGAAATACACTAACAGCAAATACACTTGATTTCATTTATTTTATGAAAGCCTGTGTAATATCTGGATATAACAGCAGACATGTATTAACTATTAGCAAAGAGTGGTGTAGAATTTCAGACATGAATTGAAGTAGGATGTTGATGCAGTCTTGAGGGTTTAAGAATTTTCATAATTTGCTTCAGAAGGTTTTAATTCCAATGGGATTCCATGTAAAGGTTCCCAATTACTTGATAATGATGACTTCTCCTGAAATTAGGGAAGAAATAAAAACTGTCTATTTGAGAATTTCAGTATTAACAGTAAAAGAGGTATCATGTTTCAATTGCTGAAATTTGCATATGAAGGGGACCCCAGGAGGAAAAACAGATAAGATAGTCAGTATTTTCAATAGTCATGTAGATTTACCCTGCCCTGATGGAGTTATAGGTATTTTTTGCTCAAAAATGTGAAATTTCAGTACAACCCAAAACTGTACATATTTATATTACTCATATCTGTATCTGTGTCTTACACAGTCTAAAGACATAATTGCAAGAGCGTTCAGGTGCAAATGGCAAACAGCAACTATAACTATTGAGCCCCATCTAGGTATCTAAGGGTAATTTGAATTTTGAAGACAGAATATGTAAAGGTTTTGTTTTCCCTTACACATACAGATTTGGCAACCATCGTCTATTTGAAACTGCATTATTCATGAAAATATACTAGAGTGAAAATGATAGAAAATATCCCAGAATATTTCAGGTACACTGACATCATTGGGTGGAAAAGGAACAGAAGTTTTTACTGGCAGTTAAAAAATTTAATGGACAGAGAGAGATAAGATAAGGCTATCTGTGGACCATAGAAAACAAGCTTTTATTTCATGAAGATTGACTTGAGTAATGAGTGATGAAAGTAGGTGACTGTATTGTCCACAGCTTCAGTAGGTCATTTTCTCACTGATCAAACCCTCTCTGGTGAATAACAAACTCTCCGTGTTTTACACCAGGGAAAAAATGGGTCATCGATGAAAACCATTCAAGTAACTCAATACACACATCTGGCAGGTGATGTTGGCTGTAACTGGACTTGCTGGAGATTCGTTGTAGGTTTCACGAGGACTGTGAGTAGAGTCCTAAGCTGTTGTCCCAGATGAGCTACAAATGTCTCATATTAAACTATGTCCAGGTATTTACCACTTACCAAGAAAAAAATTAAGCTGGTCAGTGAAATGCAGCTACATTTTAGTTGGCAAATATGGGAAAATTCTTGGGAAACATGTACATCTTAAGTCACTGGTGATGACTTGTGGGGAAACAGTCATGCGCTGTGAAAGACCGATTTCCAGGATTAAGTGATAAAGAGTAAATTTTGAAAATGTGTGAAATGATCCCATCGTTTATATCATATTGTGGCAGAATAAATTCTTAAGAAATCTGTTAATACAAGCCAAAGCTCATGACTAATTAGCAATTAAACATTGACTTAATATACAAATAGTTATTTCTAGTGTAGGAGATTAAAAATGTGTCATGGGAGAAGGGATGCTAATGGTTGTTTTTCTTGAAAAATTTGGTTCTGATGTGCAAGTTCATGTGTTATTGTATGTATGCATATTAACCTGAGCAGTGTGAAAGTCTTTTCTCTGTATATTGTGCTCATCAGGTGTGAGCTCAAGATTTCAAACCAATCAGGTGATATTTAAGGAACCAAGAACTTGTTTTAAAATAACATCATGAAGTCAAGTAACTTATACGGCTCGACTGTTCTAACCAGAAACCCTTGTGAATAGAATGTTTTTTTTCTCATCTCTCCCAGTTTTGCACACAATTTAAGAGGGATTAAGGAGCCAGGAATGAGAAACCACACAGCGATAACCACGTTCATCCTCCTGGGATTAACAGATGACCCATACCTGAAGATTCTAGTTTTCATATTTCTATTTACCTCCTATATGTTGAGCATAGCAGGAAACTTGATCATCATCCTCCTCACATTAGTGGATTCCCACCTTAAAACTGCCATGTATTATTTTCTCCAAAACTTTTCCATTTTAGAAATTTCATTCACTTCTGCCTGTGTTCCTAGGTACTTGTATAGTCTATCAACAGGCAACAGGACCATTACCTACAGTGCTTGTCTAAGCCAACTATTTTTAATAGACTTGTTTGCAGTAACGGGATTCTTTCTCCTGACCGTCATGTCCTATGACCGGTACGTGGCCATCTGCAAACCCCTGCACTATGTGACCATCATGAACCGCAGGTTCTGCAAAACGCTTGTCATAGGCTGTTGGGTGACGACTTTTTTTTTGATATTCCCCCTATTTATTTTGTTTTTGTGCCTGGAATTCTGTGACTCAAATGCCATTGACCACTTTCTCTGTGATGCAAACCCTCTGATGAAGATTTCATGCTCAGATACATGGTTCTTAGAGCAGCTGGTTGTTGTCTGCACCGTTTTGATTTTCATCGTGACTCTCGTGTGTGTGGTTTTGTCTTATATTTATATCATCAGAACAATCCTGAGATTCCCATCAGCCCAGCAAAGGCAGAAGGCGTTTTCCACCTGCTCTTCCCACATGATTGTGCTTTCTATCTCCTACGGAAGCTGCATCTTTATCTACATTAAACCTTCGGCAAAAGATGACGTGACCATGAATAAGGGGATCGCACTATTACCTGTTTCCATCTCCCCCATGTTGAACCCATTTATTTACACGCTAAGGAACAAACAAGTGGTAAAAGCCTTTAATGACTTGGTCACAAAACTGTACTTCTTCCAAGGAATTAGGAGAATGTTGAAGGGTCCAAAATAATACTTTCTAAAGTTTTAACCCCTTTTACTTCCTCTTGATCTAAATCTCTGCTTCTATTTAATGCAAACTGTAAGCAAGTTCTTCTGTGCTTCTTATATACTACCCTCAGCTTTTTAAACAATGACACATGAACAGAAAATGTTTCAGAATCAGCCGTAATGCCTGGTATGTCTATCTCTCTTTATCTGCTTATAATTAATCACCTGTATACTCTGAGAATGACATTGAGGAGAACAAAATTCAGATTTCTTGACAATACAGTTGTCCTTTGACATTGTAGCAATATCCTAATAGTGGTAAAACATAGTTACAGAATCTTACGGATTAAGGACGCCTTCAGTCTAATTTTTGACTTGTTTAAATTCTTTAAAAGTTTTCAATGTTGATCAGGATTCTGGTGTTCACAAGCCCAATGAGGCTGCTATTTTTGAGCCTAGTACCCAGCACCCTCCACTCCCACCAGGCCATCCTGGGACATGCTAGTAGTTAATGCAAGTCATAAGATGTCACTGGTACGTCAAGGAGGGTGGAAAACGCCACCTTTACTCTTGAGTTTGCCATCTATCAGCCTGCTTCTGCTAACATACTGATCATCTATGTTAAGATAATACAAAAGAATGCTTAGAAAATGCTGCTCAGAACATTCATCTGAAATACATTTGAAGGTCTATTTGTCTTTATTCAACCACTCAAGAAATCAACACTGTTCCATTTAGCAATTGTTTCTGAGATAAAAATGTTTCCTGGAAAGTAATCTGGTCCAACCACTATGGAAAACCATATAAAACACAATTGATAAACCATGAGAATCAGCAATTTTACATTTAGGAGTCTAACCAAAGAACACAAAAACAGTAATGTGCAAGGGGACATGTACTCCTAGGTTTATTGCAGCATTATTTACAGTAGCCAAGAGAGAGAACATACCCGCATGCCCCACAATAGATGAATGAATCAAGCAATGTGGTTTACCTTCACAATAGAATACTACTTAATGACCAGAATAGGTACACTCAGGCCATTTATGGCAACATGGATGGAACTTGAAAGGATTAGGCTACGCAAATTAAGTCAGGAGGCAGATAAACAGGGGATTTGTCACTGATTTGTAGACTATGAGAAACTGAGCAAAGGGTCATGCAAAAGACAAAACTTGCCAGCTGACCATAGATCTGAGGCGTCATCAGGGAAAGGGATGGACAGGAGCCCAAACAGGGAGAAGCACGAGGGAGTTTGGTGTGGACCACAGGTGTATGGATGTGGGCGATTATGGGGACTAACCCTGAGGTGAGAACCAAAGCAACAGTTAACAATGATGTGAGAAGGCAAATGAGTTAACTGAATAAAAAGAAACAACTGTCCCCGTATC